GTGCGGGCGCCGGGGGGCCGCCAGCCTGGTCCCGGGAAGAGGCGGAGGGCTGGTGGCAGCGGGTGGCTGGTTCATGCCGTGCTAGGTGCAGGGTCTGCTGGCTGGGTGCTGGCAGGCTTGCACCTGGCATGGTCACCGTAGCCAGCCCGTGCCCCTTTAAGGGCTCCGGGGCCAGGAGGGGGGCAGTAGAGTTTCCCTGGTGTTGGCCAGAATGGCCACCAGGGAAATCTGGGGAGGGTTAGCCTCCCACTAGTTCAAATTAAGGGGCTACACAGCCCTTAATTCTAACCAGTAAGTTTGAGGTTTACCTAGTTTGAACTAAGTGCTCCGCTAGTTCGAATTAAGTTCGAACTAGCGGAGTGCTTGTGTAGCACCTATCAAAGTTAATTCGAACTAACAGATGTTAGTTCGAATTAATTTTGTAGTGTAGACATACCCTTAGGGATTTAGGGGTCATAGTGCACCACAATTTAAACACAAATCAACAGCGTGACACTGTTGCAAAAAAAGCAAACATGATTCTGGGATGCATTAACAGGAGTGTTGTGAGCAAGACATGAGAAGTCAGTCTTCCACTCTACTCTGTGATGATTAAGACTCAATTGGAGTGTTGTATCCAGTTCTGGGCACCACATTTCAAGAAAGATGTGGAGAAATTGAAAAAGGCCAGAGAAGAGCAACAAAAATGATTAAATGTCTAGAAAACATGAGCTTTCATGTTCCAAGAAAACATGGGGGAAGATTTGGGCAAGTTTAGTTCAGAAAAGAGAAGACTGAGAAGGAACATGATAGCAGTTTTCATGTGTCTAAAAGTGTGTTACAAGGAGGAGTGAGAAAAATTCTTCTTGGCCTCTCAGGATCGGACAAGAAGCAATGGGCTTAAACTGCAGCAAGGGAGGTTTAAGGTTGGACATTAGGAAAAACTTCCTAACTGTCAGGGTGGTTAAAAATTGCTGTAATAAATTGCCTAGGGAGGTTGTAAAATCTCCACCACTGGAGATATTTAAGAGAAGGTTTGATAGACACCTGTCAGGGATGATCTAGACCAGGGTTTGGCAACCCCTGGCATGCACAGCCATAAGTGGCACGCAAGGCCAGGAGCTGGAGCCACTGTTCCTTTAATGTGTGCGCGCCTACGTGGCGATGTACAAAAAATCTAAACTCGCCCAA